CCTTAACCTCTTTTTGCTACCCAATTTCAGCAATGAAGACCACGTAGCCGCAGCCGTAGAGAGCCCAAATGGCCCTCTAAGGATATGTTCGGCGCATATGGGCCACGACCAGGAGGCCCTTCCCGCGCACCCGCTGATCAAACAGCTGGTGGAAGACAGCAGGAAGCACAAGATCGACCTGATCATAGGTTGTGATGCTAACGCCCATCATCATCAGGGGGGCAGCACTGACACAAACGAGAGGGGTGAGTCAATCTTCGATTTTATCCTAGGCTCCAATCTTTTGGTGGGTAACAGGGGTACAGAACCCACTTTCATAGTCAAGAACAGAAGAGAAGTACTTGACGTCACTCTTTACTCTGAATCCCTAGCAGACAGGATTGTTAGATGGGGAGTCCTAGAGAAACACTCATTCTCAGACCACCGATACATAGAATTAGTGGTCAACTTCGAGAACTTTAATCGACTAACGGTACGCAACCCGAGAAAAGCGAACTGGGAGTTATATAGAAAGAAGCTAGATAGTTCCTTGGGAAACCCTCCAACAGGGAATGTGGATAGTAGGGCAGCCCTGGATGCCATGGTGGATACGCTCACGGCAGCGTGCGCCAGGGCATTCAATAAAGCTTGTCCCAAAATCAGATCGGGCAAAAGCAAGTCAAAGAAACCACCATGGTGGTCGCAAACACTTGCGCCCTTTAAAACCAAGGCCCGCAAGGCCTTCAATTTTGCCAGAAAAACAAACTCGGAGACAGCCTGGGAGTCGTACAAAGCGGACCCTAGGCGATATAACAAAGAGCTTCGCAAGGCAAAAAGAAATGCCTGGGCCGAGTTCTGCACGAACATTCAGCAAACATCAGAGGCCTCTCGACTCAGGAAGGTCCTTGCAACTACTGCACCAAATGTAGGATATATTAAAACCTCAGAAGGTAACTGGACATCGTCCAGCAAAGAAACCCTAGAGGCTCTCACAGAGGCACATTTCCCGAGATGCTCTCTAGAAAATACAACCCTGGAAACGCAGAGACAGGGGGATAGCCCCTCACTCCCTAACCAACTTGAATACCTATTGAGTGACAGGTATCTCAGCTGGGCTATAAATAGCTTCAAGCCTTTCAAATCCCCAGGCCCAGATGGCATTGTCCCGGCTCAACTAAATTAAGCCGGTCCCAATCTGAGGTCTTGGGTCAAGAAAGCTTTCTCAGAAATTTTCAGAATAGGCACCGTATCCGCAATGTGGTTGCGGACGAAAGTCGTATTTATACCCAAGGCGGGAAAACCATCGCACTGCTCCCCTATGGACTTGAGACCAATAAGCCTGTCGTCCTTCCTTCTCAAGACAATGGAGAGACTAATCAGCCTCCATATTAATCTTACTATAAACCCAGATGATATCTCGGGATCACAGCATGCGTATAGGAAGGGCCGATCCACGGAAACGGCACTCCACGAAACCACTAATTTTGTCGTAAAGGCACTTAGTGATAAGGAATACGCACTCATTGCTTTTCTAGACATAGAAGGTGCGTTCAACAACATCCTACCAAGCTCGATAACCAATGCGCTGACAGGACTAGGAATAGATAATCAATCCGTACGCCTTATTAAGCAGATCCTGGTAAACAGGACTGTTGAGGCGTCACTAGGAGGAGAATCTATTCATAGATACGTCAGAAGAGGCACCCCGCAAGGAGGCGTACTCTCACCCCTACTCTGGAACGCCTACTGCGATCCCTTGAAGGGGGTGGTTGCAAAGTTATCGCTTACGCGGATGATGTCGCAATTGCCTTCTCAGGAAAATTTCCCCAGACTCTATGTGACCGCATGACGGACAAACTTAGGGTCCTCTCAACATGGGCAGCTAGAAATGGACTAGGTGTGAACCCATCCAAAACCGAGCTCGTCCTCTTCACCAGGAAGTACAAAATACCAAACTTAAGGCTTCCAAAACTATTAGGAGAAACACTATCTCTTAGCGATAGCGCCAAGTACCTAGGGATTACGCTAGACAGGAAACTGGACTGGAAATCAAACACTATGGATAGAGCCAACAAAGCTACAATCGCGCTCTATACTTGCAGAAAAGCCATTGGTCTTAAATGGGGAATGTCACCAAAAATAGTAAGATGGCTTTATACAGCGGTCATAAGACCCATCCTCTTCTACGGGGTGGTGGTATGGTGGCCCGCTCTCACCAACTCCACAATCAGGGAGAAGCTTAGGAAAACGCAAAGGATGGCGGAGGTCTGTATCACGGGCAGCCTACGTACCACTCCTACGGACGCACTAGACTTCATACTCGACCTTTTACCAGTAGAGATAGTGGGAGTCAAGATGACCACGCTATCGGCAATCAGGCTACGAGAGACGGGCGCATGGAAAAGGACTGACTACGGACATTCCAAGTTAGATCTGCACCACTGCACGCCAACGGGGTCTACAGACTACTGCGTACCTGTCGATAATCCCACCTTAAAATACAAGGTCTACATTCCAACAAGGGAGGAATGGGACACACAAATCCCGGGACCAGCCGGTTTCCTCCATATTTACACAGACGGTTCAAAATTGAATGGCCAGGTGGGAGGCGGTTTCCATTGCGAAAAGCTGTGTTTAAATGAGTCCTTCAGACTCCCAGACCACTGTAGTGTTTTCCAAGCAGAAGTAATAGCTATCGGAGAAGCACTCAGATCCCCAGCACTTATTGGTAATCAGGACACAATCTGTATCTTCTCAGACAGTCAAGCGGCACTCAAAGCCCTTGACGGTCTTTCATCCAACTCCAGGACAGTGAATGACTGTCGCAGATCTCTTAACGAGATGGCAGAGCAGCATGACATACACCTCATATGGGTGCCCGGGCATAGGGACCACGAGGGTAACTGCGCCGCCGACGAACTAGCAAGAGCAGGTACTACCAATCCTCTCCTACCGGAGAAGGAACCAGTAGGTATCCCCTTAGCTACGTGTAGGCTAAAATGCAGGGATCACTTTGACCGCGCATCACTGCGGAAATGGAGAAACCTCCAAAACTGCAAGAACTCCCGCATGATATGGCCAATCCGATCTAGGAAGAGGTCAATGATGCTCATCGCCCTGAATAGGCAGGACTGTAGTCTGGCGATCAAGGCCATTACGGGACATTGGTTAATAGGAGCACACGCGGCTAGACTAGCGGTGCCTCATTATGACTACTGCAGGAGCTGTGGAGACGAAGAAGAGGAAGAGACAGTCGCACACCTCCTGTGTCAATGCCCTGCGCTGGGGCGCATCCGACTCAAATTCCTGGGCGCAGCAATACTTACAGACCTTACAGACCTCGCGGAGGTCGCTCCACACAGACTCGTAGCCTTCATCCGTAAATCTGGATGGGACCGCGAGCCGCTTCAAGAAGGATAGAGCACCCTTGGGCACATAAGTAGTGGGAAGGGAGAGGTCCTTTTGTAGGATCCTTGCCTGTGCGGTATCACAAGGAGCCCAAGCGGCTCAAGTGGATGGGGGTCAGAAACCGGCCCTCATCGTCGCCTCAACCTAACCTAACCTAACCGTACAGATCAAAATAGTGTCAAAATTTTTCTGATCCCATATGAGATTTCCAGTTTCTACGTCTTTGTCGCTAACCGTGTGTCTACAAATTAGAGCCTATCTAGCTCCATGGGATGAGGCTACATTCCCACTACTTTTATCCGGCAGTTTGACTATCCCGAGGCCCTACTATCCCAGCTGAGCTGCCGGAATGCAAACTGTGGGATCAGGGTCACCACATTCCTTGAAAAATAAAAAGCCTTCAATAAAATTCCGGCTTTGCAGCGAGTGTTTGATTGCGTCTTGCTTACTATCGGCCTTGGAACCGAATGTTATGGTTAGAGAAACGGGAAAATATATGGAACGAAGGTTTATCTTTGCCATCCAAAGGTATCGTGGCATCTTCCAGCTCACTGGCCACCTTGTCGTCGTTCTTAGTCTATGGTCGTTTCAAAAACACGCCGCTGAATTTAAATAGTCGGCACCCAATCATCTTACCCAGGAGTCAAAGTGTCTCTCTAAGTTTAATTACCATTTTATGTTTAGAACCTAGACAATATTGGAAAATCGGAGAAAACACGGCCATCAACAGGTGTGTCAGATGTTTTAAGGCTAAGCCCCGGTTGTTGGAGCATGTGACAAGTGATCTGTCGAAGGAGAGATTGGAATGACATCAGGTTTTCGATGACACCGGTATCGATGTTTGCGGGCCCGCATAAAATGTTGCGTAAGCGTGTTTGTTTTTTTTTTTCACAGCGACGGCCGTGAATTTAAAGATGTTGAGGTTTTTCTTTCAATGCCATGAAAGAAATATGCCTTTCCTTCATGGCCTTAGGAGGCTTATTTCTATCCGCAGAAAGCTTCGGAAGATATGGTCGAATATGGGCACAAACTTTATTAAATTACGTGAAATTGAGCGACTTTCTCCAGGAATCTATAATAGAAAAGTTTTATATAAAAAAAACTACGACAGCTTTTTAATATCGTTTAGCCACTTATGTTCTGAACATTTCTTAAAAATTTCAAGGCGATCAGTCAATTTATTTTTTAGATATGATAGCCAGATGAAAAAACAGTGATTTTGGGAAAAACGCGCCTAAAATTTTGAGAACTATATAACTTTCGTTATAACTTTCGAACAGAATCGAATATTGAAATATCCTTTTTTCACATATTTTGTATATATTATATATTTAATTTATAAACGAATAATTTTTTCTCAAAGTTTTTTTTAAACTATTTTACGTTTTATTATTGCTCTTCCTGAAATTTTTGCACTATCCCAAAAACTATTACAACATAATTAACACACAATAAACACATAATTAACACAGTTTCTCAACTATCTTTACACATTTTAATTTTGAAATTTTTATATTTATATTCTTGTTATTGTAGACCTTTTACATACATGTCATATGGTACCACCAAAATCTTACGATTTACATTTTAACTTAATTTAGTTTGAAAATATTCAATATTTACTGTTTACTGTTATCGGTTACAATCGATCAAATGACCTCTTGAAGCATTTTGACATTATTTCACGTTGCAGTCAATATGGCGAATGAACAGGTTAAAAATATAAAAAACATTTATAATAAATATAAAGTTTTATGTTTTTGTTTTAGTTATCAAGTGCTTTGCGAGATTTACCTGGCAGGGCATTGAGTGTTCCTATTGAGGAACGGAGCATTCTTTTTCAAAACGTGTCTGCGGTTTTGCAAAATCCGGGTAAGTTCATATGTCCGTATATATGTACATACATACATACACACATTCTAAAACCTTAAAATTTAACAAAATAACAATTAAAAAATTGAATTTAACCTTTTTTTATTTTACCTACACTTCCTTTTGCTGCAGTCTTGTTTTACATGTTAATATTGTACTAAAAACAAAATTTATTGTACAATAAAAAATTTAAAACTTTTATTCAATATAAACATTAAATGTTATGAACTAAAAACTCAAAAAAGAGACTGAAAAAAGATAACTGTAATTTTAACAGCGCGAAAATTGGTTATTTTTTTGCTTAATCTACATTTTCTGATTACAATGAAAAACTATAATATTTTTTGCTCATCAATATCTAATTAATTCAAATTTTGGTGCTATATTTTTATGCTGCTTATTTTCATTTGGTCATTTTACCTACAGGTACAAATAGCTACCATGTTTTTTCCACGATATGCACCTTTACCAATACATATGTATGTATGTACATAAATAAAGCTGATTCAAGCCGTGTCTGTCTTCGAAATTCCTTTAAAAGCTTGCAATTAACAAAAACAAACATTTGCGCTACTAATTTCAATAAGAACAAGAAAACGAGGTTATAGAATATCGTCGTTCCGACTTATAGGGATATCTTGATTTGAACCAAAATTTTAATAATCTCTGCAAGGAAATACAAATTAAAAGAAGTGTATTTTTTATTTTTTATTCGACGTCAGCCTGCAGGGGTGTTCGGGTTTTAAGAAGCGTTAATAGCACAGACGAGTGGTCTGAAGATACATACAGTCCCGCACTAAAGTGATGGCAAACTTGACATTTTTTACTTTAATGGCTATTTTTAGGCTTGTTCTGCATTTAAATTATTTTTTTTTTATACTGGGTTAAATAAATGATTTTTTTTAAAAGGCACTTAATTTTTTATTTTTCACAAAAGTCAAAAAAAAAGTGACATAAAAGTCTTCACACACTTAACTAAATTACATTAATTTTTATATTTAACTTATCATTTAATATTTGGTTGCTAGTCCTTTTTGTTTAATGACATCTTCAAGGCGTCTTGGCATGGAATGCACCAGTTTTTTGGTGACTTCTTGGGAAATTTTCCCCCATTCTTCAAAAAGAGCTTTTTTTTTTAGCTCAATTCCTCCCATAGGTGCTCGATGGGGTTAAGATCAGCTGATTGTGGGGGATGTGGAAGAACATGTTCGGTGTTATAAGTGAGCCACATACGTTCATCTGTGGCGTTCATCATGTAAACGAATCTGGCATTTGAAGGTTTGAGGCAGTTTTTTTTTAAGATTTTCCTTCAATATATTAAGGTAATAAACCTTATCCATTATGCCTTCAACAAATACCAGCTCCCCAACACCCGCAGATGACATGCATCCCCACACCATGACTCCTCCGCCGCCGTGTTTTACAGTTGGTGTCAAATTTTTTTCCATTGCCGTGTTTGGCTTTCTCCACACATGTTCACGGCCATCGGAACGAAAAATGTTGAACTTGCGCTCGTCTGAGAACAAAACTTGGTCCCAGAATTCGCTTGGTTTGGTTGGAAAAAGTTGGAATAGATAGGGAATCGTAGTTTTTCATTTGTTTAAGAAAAGTTGCTAGCAAAGCTTTTTTTAAAATAAAATACACAATTTTAACGAAAAATGAAATAAAAAAATACGTTTTTTTCGCTTAGTGAATTCTCTGCTCTCATTGTTTTTCTCTGCTACGCAAACACTCAAATTGTAAACATGTGTTCGTTTTGCCCCCCACTGCTGTACATACATAAGTCCGATAGAAATGCGATTGCGAGGTGTGTTTTTGTCACCACAAAATCAATAAGGTAGGGAGCTGATAACGGCTTGGGGTTAATGAAAAAAATTTGAACCCGCTCAACAGCCAAATGTTTTCCAGTTCTCACATTTATAATTGCATTGTACAATTGCTTTCCTTGTGAGGCACGAGTCGTGATCCCCAGTCCTTATGTTTTCGTTACTTGATTGCTTTGAAGCGGGCCATTAGTTTGTTTTAAAGTGTTTCGAACTCAAAGTGGTGTTTGACGCGTCCTTTCGTTACAACTCTCGATCAGCGGCGGGCTGTGCCACAGATAATAATCTGCGGACCGTCACATGCTCGTATCCAAATTTTAACTGGTGCTCCGACCTTTCCAGAGCTTTCACGGTCTCCTCGTTGAGTGTGAGGATGACCTGCCCCGCAGTCCTACCGCCTCCTCAACCTTGGCGACTCTCCAGTCCGCCGTGGGAAGGGTCGGATCGCACATCCTAAGCATTGTCAGGATGGTTTTAGGGTCGGCTGGCTTTTCTGTGAGCCATACTCGCGCCCTCGGTTTAAGGGGGGACATCTGAGTAACAGGCCAAAAAAAAGCGGTTTTTCTCGAATTTTTTTTGGCCAAATCAAAACAGCTAATCGAAAATTTGTAAATGGGGTTTTATTATATTATATTTAAACTACACAAAAAAATTTTTTTTAATAAATCGAAAACAAAATGGCGGCCCTGCAGCCATTATTCGTAGGCCCTATTTTTTTAAAGGGGGTCCATGGCCGAACACCTAACGTCCTTAATTTTTGATCTAGAACAAAAAATCAAGTTTGGTTAGTTTCTTTATCTCAACGGCTATCGACACACGTAGGATTTTTTCGATATATTGATTTTTTCCAAAATGGCAAGTGATTGAACAAAATTTTCCATTTTCACTAACAAAAAACGTCACAAAATTGTTGATAAAAAAAAAGTAAGCAAAATAAAAAAAATCCTACGTGTGTCGATAGACATAGGTATTCTGAGTATACTGTCAAAATTTTAGATCGATAGGTTAAGAGTTGTTCGAGTTAGGTGTTCGGCCAACCCAAAAAAAGTGGTTTCGAGAAAAACGCGTTTAAAGTTTTAAGTACTGTGGGATATACCTGTGAAGCATCGCCGCAGAATGGAACATTTCGACACTTTTGCCGGACTCTTTCTTTTGATATGTCATTTTTAAGACCCTAAAGAATTTTTTAAGCGAAAAAAAAAATTTTCGATTTTTTCAAAATTCTACTCAGATGTCCCCCCTTAATTGGGATCTCCTCCTAGTCAACCGCCACCAGCTTTGCCCCGGGGTAGATCTCCCCAAGCGGTGTTACCATTCGCTTGTAGGTCTCTACCGATCGCGCGTCATGGCAGGCAATTACCTTGACGCTACTCTGCACTATGGGGTTTTTGACCTGTATTTGTGGCATTAATTAATAACTCGGTCAGTTTTGGAGATATCGACATGATACTTTACCAATCGTTATTATTTGATCCTAGGCACATATAGTATAAAAATCGTTCGGATCAGGAAACTATATCCTATAGCTCCCATAGGAACGATTTGGTAAAAGTAAAGATAAATTAATGAAATTTAAGGAGCTGATATTTGTTGCTATTCCAATACGATATAGCAATTTTGAACCAAATCGGACAACGCTTTCCCTGGGAACTGTCAGTTTAAAATACCGGATTTCAGTGTTCTTCCATACAAATGCATATAAAAGTTGAAAAGAAAAATTCCTTCATACAGTAGTATTAATCTTATTATTCTTTTTTTTCATTTTCTATAATATATCAATATTATCTAAAAAAACAAGCTGGAATCGTTGAATTCGTCATCTTCGAGACAAACATTATTTTCGTATTCGTACGAAAGCATCTCAATTACCTCAATTGGTAGTAAAAGACTTTAGTTTTTTATGCATCTCGATAAATTAAGGACGAAATAATTGGATCTGATGTATCCATAGCTCTGTTGAACACATCAGCGATGGAATGTAATTGGTAGTGTTTTCTTGAATGGTGACGCCTGTCTGATTTATACAGCTTGTTTCAGGACTCAGACGCTTCTTTTCCAAAATAGCCGACTGAAAGCACCGTATTTTTCATTACTTCCATTAAAAACTTGTTTTTTTTCAAAACGGCATTATCCACATTGTTATTTGCATGGCGTTAAAAAAAACATTGTACAGCCATTTGATGCTCAGCCCGACCCCTTTCCCTGTTCCAAGCAGCGACCAAGTCGGCTTTTGGAGAAAGTGAGGTTATCTAAGAAAAATTCAAATTGCACCAATAGTGGAGAAAAGTGCACAATAAGACTAACAGCCTTTGCTCAGTATTGACAACGCTACAACATACACTTGGACGCATTGAAAACTTTTTATTCCTTCTATTTCAAAACTCTTCCCAAAGTTGAAATTTGTTTCCCAAAATTCAGCTTAAGGTGCATCTATAAAATGACAAAATTTTAGTATAGACACGCACAATTTAAACAGTTAATACATTTAACATGTAGTACAAACCTGTGAAATTAGTGTCCAGTACTACTTTTCTTTTTAAATGGAGTTTTAAACAAATAATCTATTTTCACATATCACTATGTGAAAATTGCAAACTGAGCGCACGTGCTTTCGGATGCAACAGCTGAATTTGCAGCTGTTATGCTAGCATATGGTGCTAATAATTAATATTTTGAGTATGAGGCATAATAGTTTGATGTTTTCTTAATACATTCCCATTAATTTTTTTTAAATCAGAGAACTTTCAAAAAATGATTAAATGCCACATAAAGTGGTCAAAAACCCCATAGTGCTCTGATACCACATACTGCGTCTTCGCATTCTGGAGGGTGTCCTCCGCTGTGAATCATCTCCTCCACGAATCGTCCGTGCAACTCGTTGAACACTCGTCGCCAAAGGCCCTTGGGGATGAGCCCATCCTTGGAGCCCTTATCCAGGACTCCAATTAGGGTTCTTCCCTTCGTCACTTCGGCGAACGAGCGGTTGGGCGGCTGCGGCTGGGCCTTCCTCTTCTTAGCCTGGGGGGCTTCTCCCTCCGTGGACTTCTGGCTTTTCGCGCTTTGCGCGATCTTCTTGGCAGGGTCTCACCCAGTACGTTTATTCGGATCCAGCCTCACTCCCGCCTTTTCCGGATTAAAGTCGGGCAGGATCTCCCTTGCCCACTTAATGATCTCAGC